AGCTTCGATTCGAAGCAGAGGGCATGATGCTCCGGATGGTTGAGGAGACGTCTTTGAGACAGTCCAAGAGCGCTCTAGTCAGGCGTTGGAGCGCCAGTCATTGGAACATGCGTGACATCAGGATGTATGTGGGCGACTACAGGCTGAGATTCAGCAGGACCGGGAGTGTTCAAGTCGCAAGTGTCTGACGGTCATTGCTATTGTTATCCGCAGGGTTTAGGGATTAGGGTTGCTGTCATCTTGCACTGTAGTATCTTGCACGACTGGTCAGTTTGACATCACGTCACAAGTACACTGTTAATGCCAGACACACAACTCAGAAGCTCATACCGCAATTCCGTCTCGTAGAAACGGTACTCAATGAGCTAAACCCATTTGGCTGCCACACCATACAGGTAGTTATGGGAGGGCCCGATGCTGTCAGCCTCCTGTAACTACTGCGAATGCCCGCAAGAGCATGTCAAGAGACTTTCCGACTCGAACATGATAAGAAGCATAATGGCTTGCGTTGAGCCTGCTTGAAGTCACCGGTGTAGATGGCGCATCACAGCTCCCTGCTGAGTGTCAGAGGCCAAGCCTGGAGAGCCCCAAGAGCCAGCAAAGGCCCCTACTTGGAGGATCATGGGACTTAGTAAGTAAGGTTATAAGTCCCCTAATTGGGTTATAAGTATAGTTATCCTAATTATAACCCTACTTACTAAGTCCCATGATCCTTTAAGTATGGCTGTGTATCGAATGATGCCTGCTGCTCTGGCCAGGCTCCAAGAAGAGAGAGCACGGCAGGGGCATAACCTCTGCTGAATCAACTTAAGCCTAAACCCTGAATGGTCTGACCGGCTCAGACTACAGTTGGATGGCCCTGGCCGTGAACAGTAGGGGCAGTTGCTGCAGCTTGCCTCCTATGGCACACAACTCAACATCTGCTGCAAAACTGACAATGATTAGGGATACCCGACAACCGTACTGCTGCTGCTGCTGCTACTACTACTCCTACCACTACCACCACTACGACTACTACTACCGACTACGACGACGACTACGACGACTACTGCTACATGATTACCATGGTTCTTCTTCTCCTGGTTCTTCCTGCAGGAGCGCTCGCAGCGCGAGGCGGTCCAGAACAAGCTCTTGAGCCTGTGGCTTCCCTAGAAGTCACGCCATGGCCAGTTTAAGGTTTCGGGCTTGGGGTCTTTCCGTCAAGAAGTGGACAAAGTAGCCAGAAAAAAGTAGTAATACTATCTTTGAGAATGGCATGCACAACCATCGTTGACTTCTCTGCTCACAGGTACAAAAAGCCTTGCAACCAGATTGGCAACATGCTTCCAGCCGAAAGAACCGAACCAAGGTTGGAAGATACCTGCTCACAGATTGAGGCTCCGGCATCTTGGCTCTTGGGGACTGTTCGGAATTTTGGTCCTCTTGACTAGCAGACAAGAGAAAACGGTGCATTGTAGTATATCATGTCATGGTATTGTATTTCATTATATTATATCATAAAACCTTATATTATATTGATATATTATGATTCAATATTCAACTATGTTGTATTATCTTATCCTATACTACGTTATGTCATATTTTATCACATTATATGGTAATGCGTTGTTATACCCATTGTACTCTATCTTATGAAAACTTGTTATACTACATGATATGCTTTTATGGTAACATGTATGATGTTCTTCGGGGACCCCAGCGGTAGAACACCACGCCCACTCGGATTTGTGCTTACACACGAAAACCGGCCGTCACAACCCAGACTATTTTGATGAGACGCTGTAGCAACGACAGCACTGGAAACCTACGCCCTCAAAATCACTTACAGCAACGACCTCTTCATGTCTCGTTCCTGTGCAGAACAGCTTCTCCCACCTCAGCGCGTCATCGCAGGCGGCTGGGGAGTGGTGGTGTTCCTTCGAACACCCAAGCATGTTCGGGCTTTGGGTTTGTGTTTCGGGGAACAAGAGTGGCAAGGGTTTTGGGGTTTTGAGTAGGGAGTTTAGGATTTACGTCTAGGGATGCCGGGTCTGCACGTTTAGGGGCCGCAGTGCTGCAGGTGGCTTCCGACGTGTATTGACAGCAAGACGCTGTCCCCGGCTGCCGACTTAGATGACAGAATTACGGGTGATGGAGCTGATTTTGTCCGGTTATCCATTCTAGTGATGCTGCAGCTGCTGATGATGAAAATGCTGATGATAAAAAAGAAGATGATGAAGGCGATGGCGATGATGCTGCCGCTGGTGGTGGTGGTGGTGGTGGTGGTGGTGCTGCTGCTGCTGTCTTGACGACGATGGCGATCACGACCGAGCGATGATGAGTCCGGATCAGGTGCTAGCGGCTGTGACGATTGTTTCGGTGTTGTATTGGATGATGGCAATGATGATCATCACGATGATGTTGTCGCGGTGGCCGTCGCGGTCGCGGTCGCGTTCGTTGTCGTTGTTGTTGTTGTTGTTGCTGCTGCTGCTGCTGTTGCTGCTGCTGCTGTTGTTGTTGTTGCTGCTGCGGTGGAGGTGCGAGTCTTAGTGCTGGCGGTGGCGGTGGCTGTGGCGGCCGCCTGGCGGCGGTGGCGGTGGTGGTTGTGAGTGTCGTGTTTGCCGTCGTTGTTGATGCTGATGGTGTTGACGTTGATGTTCATGCTAACGTAGTCGCTGATACTGAGGTCGGTGATGATTACGGATATTCTACTGCGATACTCCTGCACCGTTTCGCTTATCCTGCTGCTGCTGCTGCTGCTGCTGCTGCTTCGACTACTAC